AACGAGACGACCACGATTCTTGGTGATTGTTGCGCCAACGGGCTGGGTTTTGTGGGTTCCCGTAGGTCGTAGGTTTTTTGTTGGTACTGTCGGAAAGGCTCTTTCTCTGCGCTGGGTAGGCCCGGCGCTCAACAGCTTCTCGAGCATGCATGGACAGAGTCCGAAGAAAACCCTCAGCCCTGTCCAGGGGCTTAATTGTATCTCCACCAACGTGGACAGGGTCTAAAAAACTTTTCTCTCCTGCGCAGGTTTTTCTTCTACCCCGCCACGTACCCATGACAAAAAAAGCTTTCCCCTCAGCGGACAGGGCTTTCGTGGCCCCTCTGCAGCCCGGATCGAGATTCCTCGGGCCCGAGATGTTGAGATAAAAGCCTTCCTAACCCAACGACGGGTTTTAAAAAAAGTCGTGTTGTGGACCCCTTGCCACCTAGAGGTCTTACAGGCCGCCCTCCCTGCAGTGGCAATGGGGTTTAATTGCGCCCTGTGCGGGGCTTCAAAATTGGCCCCTGAGGCTAAAGGAACAAATGAAGCTTCGAGGAAGGCAGAAAACCCCTTGACAGGCCACACAAATGCCGTTACTTCGTCCAGACGTGCCCTGGCTCGCTGCCCTTCGCGGGCTCCCCGCAGGCTCCTTGCCGTTCGCGTGCTTCAAGCCCCTCGCAGGCTCGCTGCCCTTCACGTTCTCTCTAGTCTCTTTCGAGCGGTTTGCTCCTTGTTCTCAAATTCTCTATTCTGCTTCGAGCGACTTGCTCCCGTGTTCTCAAACTCTCTAGCCCCTTTCCGAGCAGTTTTGTTCCTTATTCTCAAATTCTTTAGTGTCCCTCGAGTGGTTTGCTCTCTCAAATTCCCCAGCCCCTTAGCGGTTTGCTTCTTTGTTTCAATATCTCTAATGTCTTACAAGCGGTTTGCTCCCGTTCTGTCCCTGTCGAGCGGTTCGCTACTTTGTTTCAAGTTCCGTAGTCTTTTTCAAGCGGTTTGCTCCTCGTTTTTGAAACTTCTAAGTCCTTTTGGAGCGGTGTGCTCCTTGCTCTCAAACTTTCTAGTCTCTTTCGCTTAGTTTGCTCCTTGTTCTCAAATTCTCCAGTCTCTTTGGGGCGGTTTGCTCCATGTGTGCATCTTTTTCGATGGGTTTGCTCCTTTTTCTCAAATTCGCTTGGTTCTTGTTCTGAAACTCTCTAGTCGTTTTCGAGCGGATTGCTCCTTTTGTTCAAATGACCCAATCTCTGAGGAGCGGTTTGCTCCTTTTTCTCAAAGTCTCTCATCTCGTGCGGGCGGTTTGCTCCTTGTCCTCTCAAATTTGAAGGGTTATTTTCGAACGGTTTGCTCCTTTTTCTCAAATTCCCCAGTCTCTTTCGGTTGGTTTGCTCCTTCTTCTCAAATCCTCTAGCTGCTTTCGACCGGTTAGCCACCTGTTCTCAAATTCTCTAGGTTCTTTCGAGCGCTTTGCCTCGGTTTATCCCAAATTCCAAAAGTCCTTGTTGAGCGGTGTGCTCCTCGTTCTCAAATTCTATAGTATCTTTCGAGCGCTTGTCTGCATTTTCTCATTTTTCTGGTCTCTTTCGAATGGTTTGCTCCTTGTTCTCGAACTCTCTAGTCTTTCGAGCGGTTTAATCCTTAACCACAAATTCCCTAGTCGTTTTCCTGCGGTTTGCTCCTGTTGCTCAAATTGCTAGTCTCTTTCTAGCGGTTTGCCTCTTGTTGTCAAAGTCTCTCGACTCACGCAGGCGGTCTGCTCCTTGTGTTCTCAAATTTTCGAAAGGTCTGCCCTGGTTCCTCAAGTTCCAAATCTCTGTCGCCTTTTTTGCTGTTTGTTTTGAAGCTCCCTAGTGTCTTTCGAGTGGCTTGCTCCTTTTCTCGAGTTCCCTAAAGCTCTTCGAGCGGTTTCCTCCGTCTTCTTAGCTTCTCTAGTGTTTTGCGAGCGGTTTGCTCCCTGTTCTTAAATTCTGTAGTCTCTTTCGAGAGGTTTGCTCAGTCTTCTCAAAGCCTCGAGTCCCTTTCGAGCGGTTTGCTCCATATTCTCAAATTCTATGGCCTTTTTCGAGCGGTCAGCTCCTTGTTCACTACATGGTCTTTTTCGAGTGGCTTGCTCCCGTGTTCTCAAATTCTCTAGTTCCTTTCGAGCTGTTGGCTCCTTGTTCTCAAATTTTCTGGTCTTTGTCTCTTTCGCTTGGTTTGCTTTTCTGCTCTCAAAGTCTCTAGTCTCTTTCGCGGTTTGCTACGGTTTCTGTCCCTTTCGAGCGGTTTGCTCCTTGTTCTCAAATTTTCTAGTCTTTTTCGAGCTTGCTCCTTTGTCACAGAATTCCTAGTCTCTTTGGAGTGGTTATCCCCCTGTCCTCAAAGTCGCTGGTCTTTTTGGAGCGGTTTGCTCCTTGTTTTGAGATTCTCTAGTTTCTTTCGAGCGGCTTTTCTCCTTGTTCTCAAGTTCTCTAGTCTGTTTCGATCGGTTTGCTCTTTGTTCTCAAATTCTCGACTCTGTTTGCTCCTTGTGTTCTCAGGTTGTCTAGTTTTTTTTCGATCGGTTCCCTAGTTTCTTTCGCTTGGTTTGCCTTTTGTTCTCAAATTCTCTACTAGTCTCTTTCGAGCTGTTTGCTCCTTCTTCTCAAATCCTCAAATTCTCTAATTTCTTTCGAGCGCTTTGCCTCGTTTTGTCAAATTCCCTAGTCCTCGTTGAGCGGTGTGCTCCTTGTTCTCATGCTTCTTTTGCTCAAATTGTCTAGCGTTTTTTCGAGCGGTTTGCTCATTCGTTAGTCTCCTTCGAGCGGTTTGCTTCTTGTGTTCTCAAGTTTTTTTTTCTTTTTCGAGGGGTTTGCTCGTTTTTATCTAGTTCTCTAGTCTCTTGCGCTTGCTTTGCTCTTTGTTCTCAAACTCTCTAGTTTGTTTCGAGCGGATTGCTCCTTGTTCCCTCCCCCAAACGCAGGGGATTGAACAAAAAAGCTGTATGGCCGGTTAGGTCGGCTTTTGCCTCCTCAAAGATTCTTTTGTTCCTTCTGCATTAGACTCTAGACCCCAAACCATGGGGATCTCAACAGGGCGAGAAAAAAGTGTGACAAAAGCCCATGGGTGTTCGCGACAACTGCCCATTGAGTTTTTTC